TTTATGAAACTCTCTCAAATTTAAATACAGGCAAAATTGACACTCCTGTTGTAAAAAAAAAAAGATCATGTGGAAACAATACTTCTAGCATTAATACTGACACAACTGTTCAGTTTACTGAAGCAGAATTTGCCAACAATGAATCTGTTCCTATAGAAGAATTCCAAAGAATAAAAAATTTGTTGGAGTTACGTGAACTGGAATGTTGGAACAAATCACAACTTATTGTAGAACTTAATAACGAAATCACACAACTATCACATCAATTAGAAGATCAAAATCATGAAATAGATGATTTAAAAAGAAATTAATTGAAGTACAGGATCAAAACAAAGTTCCTTATGAGCAGTGGAATTCACATATCGAACAACTGTCACATCAACTTGGAACTCAAACCCATGAAATAAAAGATTTAAAAAAAAAAATAGTTGATTCTTACGATCAATTAACTGAAGCAATCAGCCAAAACGTATAAATTCTATTATAGAAATTGCACTTGCTGAACGTGATTCTCTGTATGAGGATATTGAATCATTAATTAGAAATAATAATAGGTTCTCATTAGAAAACATTATGAATTATACTCCTAAAACTTGGTTAAATGGACATAACCAAGTTATTGTAAAGTTCATTGAAACTCTAACTCAGAATACAAATACTTACTATTCTGATGAATTAAGCCAAGAAAAATTCTTCAAGAGAGCTGTTGCAGTTGATGCAATATATGGTTCACGTCATGGTAAATATGTATCAGAAATTAATCTTGCAGCATCAGCTGTAAAATATTCCATGGTACGTTCAAAAAAAGTCATTAGCATAGATAACCATATAACAAGCGCAGGGAGTTATTCTATGTTTCGAACTTGGTTAGAAGGATTGGCAGAAGAAGAAGAACCTTTACCTAATGGACTTTTGTTCCTTGCATTTGATAATGAACAAAGAGGACAAAAAAATTATCTTGATCATGGATTTAATACAGTGATTTATCATATAGTCACAAGTTTTGTTGCATTTAATATGGAATCACAGAATGAAATTCAACATACTGATACTCCTTGGTTACATGATTCTTTAAATAGATTACAATATGAAGAAATTTTTGATATTTCTTTTCAAATGGAAGAAGAAATTAATAAAGAATTGTATGCATATCTTTCTGAAATTCTTGGCTTGTTGCATGAGGAAAAATCATCAACAACTAATAATATTGAAGCTCTTATTGCAAATAGTGTTTCAAATGATAATTGTAACAAACAATGTCTAAGCTGTGGTGAAAGGAACATTGAGAATTGAAAACAAACTTGTCCAATATGCAAAACTCGACTACTTACCTTGACAGAATTACAACAACAAATTACAATAGAACCAGAAATAGACTTATCTGATCAACCATTAAAGCCAACTATTTTTAAAATTCATAGGTTTGAAGATGAATACAATAATACTACCAATCCATGTATTAGTGCCACTCAAATACCAATTGCTGATGAAGGTGTTAATGTTCCCTGGATTTTATGTTCCTGATCCAATTAACATCAATCCTAATTCAATTTCAAATGTTGAAAAGGTTCTCCATCACATAAAGAAAATATCAGGAATTGAGGATGGAACATGTAAATGGATTGCAGTAGAATGTGATGGTGTTCCATATCATCATATTATCAAATTAAAAAGAAGATCAGAAATTCCTTGGTTGGTTCCTATACCTGGACAATTGCATGAAGAAATGAATATGCTTCGTGCATATGTTGAATTAAATTGGTAAGTTTATAATTTGTTTTATTTAAAATCCATAATTATATTTATATTGATTTATTATATTTATATTAATTTATAATGTTTATATTATATTTATATCATATATATATATATATTCAATTTAATTAATTTTATAATGTTTATATTAATTTATTATATTTATATTCATTTAATTATATTTATATTAATTTATAATATTTATATTAATTTATTATATTTAAATTAGGGAGATTGATCTTAAACAGTTTGCAATATGTCAAGGTTACAAAAATGATAAACAGCTTGCTTATTTTAAAAAATGTTATGATCATCATAAGTCCTGGGATTCTGTCTGTAACATATATCGTCAAGCAATGTCTCTGGAGCTTATGTGGCCTTATGTAAAAAATCATTCTAATCCATCAGTTGAAGGATACATAGTGTGGGCTAAAGGACAACAGGATCCAATTTATCAAATAAAGTATGAACAGGTGGGAAATTTTAATATTATTTGTTAATTAAATACATAGACTTATTGGATTAAACATTAATAGTTTATAAAAATTGCATAATAGACATTTTATTATTTGCAAGCCATTATCAATTATAGAACAGCTGTAAGAACTAATCGTCCTTTATTAAAAAGTGCTGCAAGAAGAGCCTTTTCTCCAATTTGGTCAGCTCGTCACCATCCAATTTATCAATTAATTGAAGTTGCAGATGAAGTACAATTAATGCAACTTCATCCAAGTATATGTGATTTGGTGGAGAAATATTGTGTATTATCCAGATCAGGATTGTTTAACCAGGATCAAGGGTTAGATGCAATTTTAGAAGAAGTGAACAAGACATTAAAATCTTTAATACCTCCTGTGCCACAACTACATCATTGGAAAATTGCTGCTCGTAACTTAAAAAAAATTTTTCAGGTAATAAAATTTATTATATATATTTATCCAATTTATAATAAATTTAACTGTGAACCAATTTAAATTTAAATATATATATTTATTAATTTATAATAAATTTAGCTGCGAACCAATTTATTTAAAACAATTGGATATAAAGATGTTCATTCCAATGCTCCAAGAACTCGTCCTGAATCAAGTACAGAATGTCAAAGATTTAGAGTTCAATTAAGAAATCTTGATTTTGTTAATCCAACAAAAATAACATCTATGTATAAAAGCCTGGTTGATGAAAATGAATTGAGTGAACAGTTGAAAAATTTTAGCAATTTAGCAAAAAAGGCTAGAGAAAATTATATTGTGGAAGTATTCTACAATAAAAATACAACTTATTTATCTAAGCCTATTCCAATAACCAAAGAAGAAGCAATTGCCCAGGTAAGTGAATCAAAAATGACAAAACAAGAACTTATCATCAAGTTGGAATCTTTCCTTGAACTAATGGGTGAAAACTGTCGATGCAAATATCGTGGATTTAGATCAAAAAACAAAAGTGATTTGTTAATTATATTACAAGAGGTAAGATGTTTATTTAATGAAGAAAATGAAATTAATGATTTGGTTTTTGTAGAAAGTTCAATTTAAATAGTGTGATAAATAAAATGGATTTATCAAAGTGCTGTCCAATCATATAGTAATAGTATGTTAGAAATGTGTCCTAACCTTTTTCATTTTATTAATACTTTATATTTGTAATTTTTTACATTCGCATTTATTAATTTTATTTAATTAAATTAATGGAACAAACATAATTAATTAGTTTCAAAAAAGATAATGTCACTTTTTGATCTAGCAAATTAATTTTTCTAACTAATGGGCAATTAACTGTTAATTTAAATAATTAAATAATTCTTCTATATTGATAATTCAGAGCCAAGATTTAATTAATAAATTTCAAATTTGACAAATATTATTTTGCAATAAACATTTTCATAATTTAATAATAAAATAAAGTAATTTTTTTTTGTTTAATAAAACACTTTTGTAGTCGGAAATTAAACAGTATCCATTTGGTTATCAGGGTTGGTATAGAACTCTGAGGTTTTGTAATTTGGTTTTGATTACTTGCTTTGGTAGAAAGC